ACACGGGGCGAAACCCTACCCCGTCCCCAAGCTAGTGTAAAGGAGGAAGGGAGGAGACAGGGAGGCGCCTCCCTGACCGCATGTCCCTGCCCCAGAGACACGCCAGGCATGCCCCAGAGACATGCCAGGCATTTCTACAGCTCAAGCCCGCTGAAACCCAAATCCTATGATAAGAGAAGATTTGAGAGCCACATTTGGAATGAGCTTCCCAGAAGACTGACTTTGCTGGTTTCCAGTTACGTTCTTGCTTTAAACTGGTAAGATCGAGTCAGACAGTCAAGTTGTGTTGTAATGAGCTACCTGAATGGACAAGCAACCTACATGAAGAGTCCTCAACTACAACCAAGTTGTTGGTAAAGTTAAACTTGTTTCAAGATTTAACTTAGTTACCAAGTTTCAGGTTGATTGGACATAGCTCTTGCCTAAAATAGATGACCATTGTGGCACAAAGATGCCCCTTACCGCTGGATGTGTTGGGGCTCCTCTCTGATGTCCTCTGGGATGCCGGCTGTAAAAGAAGGTAAGACACTGAGATTAGGAAATGCATGGAAGCCATTGATTATACCCAAGCAGTGACTGAACACTTCTAGCTTCAATGTGGTGCAAAAGGCGGGAAAAGTTTATACAGGATTTCACACCATTAGTACATAGGCTTCTCACCAAACTCCTCGGACCGCCGACTATAGCTTCTTGGACGCTACCAATGTACGCTGCTCCCATGGAATGCACAAGAAATTCACACCTACAAAAAGAATTGCAGTTACCTCAAGTCTAATTATCAATATGAGAGTGGTTACAGTAACTAAATGGAACGTTCTCACTTTAAGGTGAACACAAGAGCACTCTTCATGACCCTAGGAGGTTTAAAGCTTAAACTCCAAGTACATGTAAAAACTGCCCTTACAATAGGGCTTCTCCTGCACTGCAAGGGTTAAAAGTAAATTTTTGGTCTAGGGCACCATTAGAAAAGCACTTGTACTTACCTTAACCCTTACTCAAATGGGGCCTCTGTGTGACTCCCCACACTTATGTCCCACCAGAGCCCCATCTCTCCTGTGTTGTGATGACAGTGACGGAACACAGCACTAAAGAGAAGCCGTTTTGGGGGACCGGGCTCCCTGGCATCACACAATGCAGGACCAAACCAAACCACAAACCAGATAAATCTGAGCAAGTAGAAAGTCAGCTGCCGAGGGAGTGAGGGATAAGGGATAAGGGCAAGAACAGCCACATTTCCTTTACGGGGCGCTGGTTCTGAGGCAGGCAAGTCAGTGATGCTGCAGAGCACCGCCATGGGCAGCTTTAACCTGCTTATTAGCATCAAAGGACCATATAGATCAGGATAGGCAACCTTGGCACTCCAACTGTGGTGTAACCACAAATCCCCATCATGTCTATGACTGTTAGGAGTCTTGCAATGCATCATAGGACTTATTTCCCCAACCGCTGGAGTGCTGAGGTTGCCCCTTGGAGTGCAAGGGTCATTTTAACATGTTCCTGGCATTCATCTTTAAAGCATGTACCCAGACAAATGTCATTTTGGGTAAAGCGGGGGTTAAAACTTGGTTTTTACGGCTATCTGGAGCTCCCTTAGACAATTTCCCGCCATTCTTGTCCTGCTGACAATGGCTTTGACAGAAAGGGAGGGGAAAAAAAAAACAAAACCTAAGACTGACAAATATAAAACTGAAAGGGATTCGGGATTCTAGCCTTCCAACTCTAAAAATGTCTTTGCGTCATAGTTGCCGATTTTCCTTCACTTCCTGTCAGGTGAAACGGTTGCCACCAGGACACGAAGTGAGGAAAATCTCCAACAGAGCTTCTGTAAAACCCCAGATGTGGTTCTAACTTCCCCTATTCCAGGGGTAGCCAAACTCTGGCCCTCCAGCTGTGGTGAAACTACAAATCCCATGAAGCATCTCTCTCCGGAAGTCATGTCTGAGAATCTTGCAATGCCTCATGGGATTTGTAGTTCCACCACAGCTGGAGGGCCAGAGTTTGGCTACCCCTGCGCCTAAGCTATGCTGGGCATGCAATCACTGTGCACAAGGAAACGGTTCTGCACTGTAATTACATTAGTCTTTCACAGATGGGTTGTAGCCAAGTTCTGAAAGGGCTGGATATGTTCTAGCCGGCCAACTTTGGAATTGGATCAGTTTGTACACACCCTTTAAAAGCCCCAACATGAAAGCCATGCTTGCCCTGTTATCGTGACGTGTCATGTGACTCACCTTGGGAACCATTTGGCGTGTTCTCTCCAGGGGTCATCTCCCTGTTCCCAGTTCCTCAATTCCCCATCACAGTGGAAGCACCGGACATTGTCCCTCTGTCCTGGAACACAAAGCCGAATGTACACATACCATGACCTATAGGTTACAGTCACATGGCTAGGCCATTTTAGAAAGCAGATTTTTCCATTGCATTGGTATATCTCTATGGTTTAGTGACAATTCCCACAATGCATCAGAAGACCTTTCAATCCATTCCTATGGACTTGTGTACTGCAGCATGAAACTGACAGACATGCATCTATAGTAGGGACATCAATGCACTGAAATATCAGAATGATCAGATGCATTAAAGCCAGTGGCTTGTTGCCACGGGAAACGTCACCTCTGCCATTCATGTCAGTGTAACAGAGGAGTCATTGTCCCGGGGGCCATTGTGTACAGATCAGACACTAGAATAACTTCCCGTTCTGGTGTCTTCCCAATGCAACACGGAGAGCTGCGAGGCTGGAGGGAATCAGCTGACCTCTGACCTACAGAGCATAGGACACTGACATCACATGCTGCGTGGAACTGAAGAGAACATGTCACCACCTGAACCACAAGTACAAGCATGCCTCTTCAGAGCACTGTAATGGGAGCTTTAGATGTCAAGGGAGTGATCGGGGAATGGGTACGGCAGTCAGTATGTCGTGTTCAATATCCTGCCCATCCACATCTGATACTGTACACAGTCAATACCTAATCGCTATGTGTTGGACTTTAACAGAACGGATTGTCCTCTAACCTCACAGCCGCTGTAATATGTAGAAGTCATTGGGGGGAATTTAGCAAAACTGGAGCAGACGGAATCTAGAGCAGCTGTGCATGGCAACCAATAAGCTTCTCTCTTCAGTTTGTTCATTTAAGATTTGAAAATGAGAGAAGCTGATTGGTTGCCAGGCACAGCTGCTCCAGATTCTGTCTGATCCAGTTTTGATAAATTTCCCTAATTTTCTTTACATAAGCCATGTCACCACCACAGAATATACAACCCAGTAGTGACTCAGGTGGCTACAATGTTGCCATGACAGGAGTCAGCATCACTGACTGATAAAGTATTGCCATCATGGAATCTATGGGCCATCAGGAATAATTTGGATACAGTTCAACATTATGGAATTATGTATCAATAATAACTATTTTGGACATATTACCATCATGAGTCCATGGGCATCTGTGGGCCATCAGTGACTTTGGCTATATAACCACCATCATGGGCATCTGTGGGCCATCAGTGACTTTGGCTATATAACCACCATCAGTTGAATCTATGGATCATCAGTAACTTTTTGGGGATACCATACCACCATTATAGGGGTCTATAACCCATGACTGACTCTAGCTAGAATATTGCTATTGTGGGGTACTCCCAGTACATACCAGTGTAGAAGAATCCAGCTCTTGCCAGTTGCTCTGGGCTCACCCCAGAGTATTGGGGCCAGTTGTGGAAGGTTCTCAGCCTCTGTCTCTCCTCTAGTAGATCGGGGTACACCGCCTGCCAGTCCTCATCTTCATCCCCCGACAATCTCTGCAGCTGGCCCAGGATCTGCCCATCCACCGAGTCTGTGGCCCCTCCCAGGGGGACGTTGCCCACATCTCTGCCCTGCATGAAGGGGCAGGAGGGGAAGTACTTGCGGTGCTCGGCTCCTGGTCGGTCCCCGGGCTCCCAGCTCCGTAGGATGCCTCCGCAGCAGAAGCACTGCACCCGGTCCCGGGGCCCCAGATAGAAAAACCCGGCCCGTGACAGCTGCTGGGGGGACACGGTGCCCGGGCCAGGCCACTGCCGGAAACTCATCAGCCGCCGGATCTCCCACCGCATACCGTCCTTTACCGGGGTGCCGGGTGTTTCCAAACCTGGGGGGGCCCAGGAGCCCAACATCTCCCTGATCATATCCTCCTCGTCCATGGCTGCGTTCTGGCTGAGCCTCCAGCGGATCATAGCGGAGGGAGAACACCGGCTGTTCTGGAAGAGACACGGGGGGGGCTGAGTCAGCATCACACGGGGCATCGCTCACCTGGGTACACCGCCACCATATAGGGAGGAGCATCGGACACCTGAGTACACCGCCACCGTATAGGGAGGAGCATCGGACACCCAAGTACACCGCCACCATATAGGGAGGAGCATCGGACACCTGAGTACACCGCCACCATATAGAAAGGAGTATCGGACACCTGTAGACTTCATATAGGGGAGGGGCAGTGCTCATCTGGGGGCATACAGGGGAGGGGCATCGTTCACCTGGGCACAGCGCCATCATATAGGGAGGAGCATCAGACACCTGTAGACTTCATAAAGGGGAGCGGCATCGCCCACCTGGGGACACCACCATATGAGGAGCGGCATCGCCCACCTGGGGACACCACCATATAGGGAGGAGCGGCATCGCCCACCTGGGGACACCACCATATAAGGAGCATCTCCCACCTGGGGACACCACCATATAGGGAGGAGCATCGCCCACCTAGGATCACCATGTAGGGGCAGACATCAACCACCTGGGTACACCACCATATAGGGAGCAGCATCACTCATCTGGGTATATCACCATAGTGGGGATGGATCCCCATTTTGAGTGAGGTCATCTCAACTTAGTACATCATAGGGCATCTTAGTACATCATAGGGCATCGCTCACCAGGGTACATAGCTATATAGGCAGTAGCATCACCCACCTGGGACAAGACCCATATAGAGAGTCACATCATATAGGAAGGCGCATCAGCCACTTGGGTACCCTATATAGGGAGGCGCATCGCCCATCTGGGAACATAATATAGTTGAGGGGTCATCCCTCAACTGGGCACATCAGAATAAGGCATCATACAGCTGGATGCATCACAACAGAAAAGGGCCAACACCCACCTGGTTACATAGGGGAGGGGCATAAATCACCTGGGTACTGATTTATTTAGGGGAGGGGTACCACCCTACATACTATAATCAGGTATGCTGATCTAATTAGGTTGTCCAAGCACCACATCTCAATTACAGATAAAGGATACATGGTTCAGAAAAATGGCAGCAGCCACCTGAGCACACTATCAGAGGTATCACCATCTGCACAATATGGTGAAGGGATATTGCTAAGCCGATAACATGGGGACCCCACCATGCAGAGGGAGAGTGAAGGGGCACCATGTTAAATACAGATAGTAGAAGTACCTTAATTTGACTTATGAGCTCCTTGCAGTGTCCTGTATAGCAGAGCTTTGACTGGAAGAGGGAGCAGAACAAGGAGATAGTCAGTTGTGCTGCAGTACAATGAGTGAAGCTTATATGAAGAGACTGACAGATGAGCTCATTGGTCGGCTGCTTTTACTTTACAGGACAAGAACGGTTCCTGAACTACAACAGAAAAATCAGGGCTCCCGCCTGGCCAGACAGGGCCGTGCTATGTGGCAGAGCTGAGTAAATCTCAGGATTGTATGGAGAATACAGCTTTGTAAGCCGCTCATGTATCATAACAGTTTTAATGCAGAATTTATTAGCTTCAGTTTAGTTAAATGCCATCACAGAACTGCAGCGGGTTGTCATCCTCATACCAAGGGGAGTGCACAGCTTGTAGAAATGTTGGGCCTAACACAGTCAGCCTCCTTCGGCTAACAAGAAAGGCTCCGACCTCCTTCGGCTAACAAGAAAGGCTCCGACCTCCTTCGGCTAACAAGAAAGGCTCCGACCTCCTTCGGCTAACAAGAAAGGCTCCGACCTCCTTCGGCTAACAAGAAAGGCTCCGACCTCCTTCGGCTAACAAGGTTTGGCGAGGAGGGGGCGTATTGAGAAATCTGGCATTGGGGCAGCAGAGTAAATCTGACCCTGAATACACTGATACCCCCAGAGCTCAGCTTTACATAGCCACACATGGAGAATCATGTGGCCTTAACATCCCACATGTAGGAGGTCATGGCACTGCAGTATATATGGCCAGTTTAGGATCCTCAGTTTAAGAAACAACCCTCAATCCCAAATAGGCTTTAAGCCTGCAGCAAGATAAAGACTAGCCGGAGAATTGGCCGGGGCAATCAGGTGCGACACCCGAAGACCCCCAGCTGGGAGTTAATTGCAATTAATGAGGCTCACCTGAGACATTGTAGGAAAGCAGAGCATAGAAATGTCTGGAATATCACCTGTGTGCACAATATGTACTTGGTAATGTGAAAGTGAAACAAACCTCATCTTCGCCTATGACACCTGACCAGGTAGACTAGCAGAGCACACAACCAGCACCCCCATAGTACAAAGGTTCAATGCAAGTACACATGAGAAATTAAATCTATTCCATGTTCTAACGAGAGAGAATTCAATTTTAAAGGCATATTTCACCTTCGCAAATAAATGCACCCATAGTACAAAAAGCATTTTCACACTGGCGTCTGCAAAGCATGGCAACCATGTATACATCCAGGGGTTCCCATACCACCACAGAGAAACCAGCCTACCATACATCCAGGGGTTCCCACAAAGCACCCCAGAGAAACCAGCCTACCATACATCCAGGGGTTCCCACAAAGCACCCCAGAGAAACCAGCCTACCATACATCCAGGGGTTCCCACAAAGCACCCCAGAGAAACCAGCCTACCATACATCCAGGGGTTCCCACAAAGCACCCCAGAGAAACCAGCCTACCATACATCCAGGGGTTCCCACAAAGCACCCCAGAGAAACCAGCCTACCATACATCCAGGGGTTCCCACAAAGCACCCCAGAGAAACCAGCCTACCATACATCCAGGGGTTCCCACAAAGCACCCCAGAGAAACCAGCCTACCATACATCCAGGGGTTCCCACAAAGCACCCCAGAGAAACCAGCCTACCATACATCCAGGGGTTCCCACAAAGCACCCCAGAGAAACCAGCCTACCATACATCCAGGGGTTCCCACAAAGCACCCCAGAGAAACCAGCCTACCATACATCCAGGGGTTCCCACAAAGCACCCCAGAGAAACCAGCCTACCATACATCCAGGGGTTCCCACAAAGCACCCCAGAGAAACCAGCCTACCATACATCCAGGGGTTCCCACAAAGCACCCCAGAGAAACCAGCCTACCATACATCCAGGGGTTCCCACAAAGCACCCCAGAGAAACCAGCCTACCATACATCCAGGGGTTCCCACAAAGCACCCCAGAGAAACCAGCCTACCATACATCCAGGGGTTCCCACAAAGCACCCCAGAGAAACCAGCCTACCATACATCCAGGGGTTCCCACAAAGCACCCCAGAGAAACCAGCCTACCATACATCCAGGGGTTCCCACAAAGCACCCCAGAGAAACCAGCCTACCATACATCCAGGGGTTCCCACAAAGCACCCCAGAGAAACCAGCCTACCATACATCCAGGGGTTCCCACAAAGCACCCCAGAGAAACCAGCCTACCATACATCCAGGGGTTCCCACAAAGCACCCCAGAGAAACCAGCCTACCATACATCCAGGGGTTCCCACAAAGCACCCCAGAGAAACCAGCCTACCATACATCCAGGGGTTCCCACAAAGCACCACAGAGAAACCGGCCTACCATACAACCAGGGTTTCCCACAAAGCACCCCAGAGAAACCAGCCTACCATACATCCAGGGGTTCCCACAAAGCACCCCAGAAAAAACAGTCTACCATACAACCAGGGTTTCAAACAAAGCACCCCAGAAAAACTCCAAGAAAAATGAAGACCAGCCTACCATATTTACAAGGGTTTCCACCATCTAGCATCCTAGGGAGAGACTACAGGAAGCAGGCAATGAAACCAACCTACCATACTTCCAGGGGTTCGCACAATGAAGCTTCCCAGGGAGAAACTGCAAGGAACATGCATGGAAACCAGTGCCATACTTTCAAAGGTTCCCATTATAAAGCACCTTAGGAAGAGACTTCCCAAGCACAAAACAAGTACACCATACTGCCAATGTTCCCACCATAAAACACCCCAGTGAGAACACAGGGAACCAGCCCAACACTTCTAAAATCTCTCACCATAAACCTGCAATACACCTTTACACCCTCTGACCAGCAGAGGAGAAAGTTAGAACATGAGCAGAGGAGAACAAGCAGCGTCACCAGAGCTTCAATAAGAATTCCCTTCCACCAGCTTCAGGTTCGTAGAACCATGTGGCCTGCACGACAAGGAACTTACGTACACCAAGCCAACAACCCATAAAACCATTGCCAAGGGGAAGTGCCTTCTGGAGTTCCAGAAACAAGACTCAGCAGTGAAGTTCTCCTTTTTAAAGTGTCCTGTGTGTTGTACTTCCTACCCAGTGGATGGAAACCTCTCATACCACCCTAGATAATGACTAGGGAAAACAGCTTGAATGCAAACCTCCAGATAACTGGGTTAGACTTCAATCAGGCCTACCACTCCACATGCAGGTGAATGTCCCCCTTTGTCTCAAAACTTGGACAAAAAATAAATACTCATTGTATCTAAAGTACATACACCTACCCTGTGCAGTCTGAAAAAATCACCAGTACCCAACACCCAAGCCTGCAACAAGCCAATGGACTACCAAGACCTTTTTTGAGGTCAGTTATCAGACGTGCCCAGGGTCACACCATGTGGACTACAAAAAGCCTTCCTGACATGTAATGGAGATAATGGAAAGAGTGATCTGTGGTCCATGAGGACTTGATGGGGCTGATGAGACTGCTTGGGAGCGATTAGCATTGGCATGTAAAAGGAAAGTTGGCTCACTGGATTTATGACGGGATATCAGGCATCCTATAGTGATATTTAAAAGGAAACACTATGGGAAGTGTGTATGTGAGAAAATTTTACCTAGGTATATACACAGGGCCAGATTTACTCTGCTGCCTCGAGGCCAGGTTCCTCGAGGCCA